ATTCCTGCTTTTCTGCTGATAATCTCTGTGCGTGCAACGGAAGATGAGGAAAATGAATGACTGAACCGCAGCAAACGTCAACAGGACCAGAACTGCTGCCATTACTCTCCAAGACAGGGGGTTCCCAAACCATGGCACAGGTATGGTTTGTAGCATGAAAGCCCTTGGATGTGGTGCACAAGAAAATTCTTCTTGCCTCCTTTTCCCTCTGTTAAGAGAGAATACTGAGAACTGCTTCAACTTTTTGGAACAGCCGAGCAGCCCTCGAGTCTCTATAGAGCACTGAATCCATGTGAGACCACAACAGATGGGGAAAATGAGATTTCACTCTACACCTACATCCTAAGAACGAGCGCAGCTTGGGACAGTGTTAGGAGCTGCTCTTGCTGCTACGGTAAGTCACATTTCTGCTTTCTAAGACAGTGGTACATGAGCAATCTAAATTTGGGAAACCTTCTCTGAAATACACTAGGAAAATAAAGTAACCTTAGGTCAAAGATGACAAATATCAGATAAAATGGAAAACCAAAAAGAAGGAACAAAGCAGGGGAAAATCTGCTTATTTTATCAAAAGCAGGCACCGTGAAAGAGTACTGCCTCCCAAAAAGGCTGCCCCTATAAAGAACAGTGTTCTACAAAACCCGACTGAAGCAAAAGATTACTGGTCTTAACGTGACCCCATACTATGGGGCCAGTGATGGGAGGGAACTTGTATCTCTAGCAAGTATTTGAAAATAACTCTAGCAGCACCAAAATTTATAATTTTGTTATAAGCCGACAAACTGTGGTTGGGAAATTCAGCAACTGCGCAATCTCTAAAATTACCAAAGGTAATCCTGTTTTGATTTATCCTTCTTTCTCGTGATATACTTAACTGAAAGTCTACTAAAAAAATAAACCCAATTGCTTTTAATTTTATTCCTAAGCCTTCACCTCTCAAATGCAATCAGTGTTAATGAGTTATGAAAATATCTTCTCAAACACAGTTATTGTTGTTACCATAATGACTTATTTATGAAGGCTCTGCTTCATATCTCCCTCCATATTATAAAGTGCTTCCAAATATAATACATTGCAAACGAACAATTATTAAAATTACCCAAAGAGTGAATGAGAACTCTCTGCAATATCAGAGAGAGAGGCAGGAACGCTTTTATAAATGCACTGCAAAACCCTGAGATAAATATATGCAATTATACAAAGAAAATACATTCAAGGAAGAGAAAACTGTACTTCAACATATCTCTCTGCCTCCATTTACTGTTCTTACATTACTGCATGAGGAAATATATCTTTGGGAGCTTAAAAGTGCTTTCTGAGCTGTGAAGTGTGCCTTATCATATATTTGGGACACATGAACTGTACTGAAAAACAAGAGCTTTATTTCCCTTTAAGGCAAAATGTGAATAAAAACTATTATCAAGGTAGTTAATAATGCTTTGCAAAGATCACTCAATAATAACTCAAACTTATTCGAGGACAAAGCATTTCAAAAATTTTGGGCTAGCATACTTGTTTCGCTCTGTAGCCTTCTGAAGGAAGAACATGCTGCATTAACATCCTCAGTAAAAGGCATTTAAGTTTAAGCACTATGACTACTAAGGCCTGAGATCCACCGCTCAGTGCTGTACAAATGGTCAGGTACATAATCTTAGTGGTACAAAACCGAGAACAGGAAACACAGAACAGAAAGCTTTCTAGCAAACGTCATGCGGCTTCAGAACTTCAGCAGACACTGTCCGAGCAGGATGTGCAGAGCTGCCTGTCAACAGAAATCATTGCGGAGGTGAGGAAACTGGCTAAAGCAATCTTTGCAGCAAGAGCAGGATTCAGTAAGGTGCCTGGTTTGTAGAGTATCTCTCAAAGAATTTTTTTATTTAACATCAACACGTTCTTACAAAAGGAGTCTTTACAGTGCTCAGCGGCACCTCTCCTTCTCCAATTCACTCCTAGTCGCATAGTCTTACGTCCCTATTCATTCAAGCCACTTATGACTATGCTGTTCTTCTGATACTGCTAACTCCAAGAGATGCCCTCTGAGAACTTTCACAGAGAGTACGTCCCTACTTTGTAATCTGGAGTTTAAACCAAGTTTGTTCTTTTAGCCTGCTTGGATATGATGTTTTTCCTTTCACTAGACATGCTATTTCAGCTTTCCCTAATTTTTACCTCTCCTTGCTCTATTTTGTCTGTGATGGTAATGTCTGCTGACGTAACGATTTGCATCTCTGATTGCATGGCCCTGACGACGTCTTTCGCAAGTTCCTACTATAATGAGCCAAACGCTGAGTTAAACTCCCTGTTCTTGAACCAGCATCTTCCTTCCTGAAGATTACCCAGCAAACTAACTCTGTCTTTGAGTTTTTAATCCACGCATTATTTTGGCAAACTTTATCTAAAGATTTAAAGGTGCTTAAACTGATGTTAAACCCGCTTCTCAGAAAAGGCAAATATCATTGTCTCCAGTAAAAAAAAACATTAATGATCTAAAATATCAACATAGGAGCTGTACAAACTGATGAACAAAAACAACAGTCCAGAAAGTCTTTAAGGATGGGCTACAAGGATAATATTTTCATTTCTTTTTACTGAGTTTTACCTGAGGTAGTTTAACAACGGTGGTTATATACTGCATTCCCAGCATGGTCAGATTGATTGAACACTCACTTTCTGCAGAGAAGGCACAGCGTTACACTGACCAGACAAAAACAAAAATGCGGCCTACAGGGCTACATTTATTTATTTTATTTTACTCTATTTATTTGATTAACTGAAGTAGCTTTTTACACGTACATTATCTGAATGAGGCAGACCAGTGCACTCTCCATTCTTATGGTTCTCAAGTAAAACAGGCTTTATTAAAAATCCTCCAGTAAACAAACTCGCTACTGAGCGCAGGTCAAGCCATTCTAGTAAAAGCAAAATCGCTGACCTATGCAAAATTTTGGTAATTAAACTACAAATATTGTAGAATGCCTGTCTTCTGACTTACTAAAAGCCATTCAGTGCACTCCGTGCAAGGAGAATAAATGGATTGTTACAGTAACAACCTTTAAATACTAGCTATTAATAAACAACAGTCTGCTAGAAGAACCCAAAACTGGCTTCAAATCGTCCTTCATGGAAAAAAGGTTTCTCTCAGCATTTGGCAGTATTTGAGAAGCAACTTGAGAAGCAAATCCCACAGAAATGGAAAGATTCTCAGTATTATGACTGGGTGGTTTTGTTTTTGTCTGGGACACTGAGATGACAGTGTTCCACCATTTATTTTGCAAAATCTTATTACAAAGGCTTTCTGTCATGATTATACAAGGTTTTATGTCTGATGCAAAGTACCATTACAGCCTTCTGTGGCTACAGCCACAAGCCTTTCAAATTTGGTGTTATGACTGAAGTCAGATCATGCTTTTGACACTACTGAAAACAAAATTACAAGCAATCAGAGGTAAACAGTGGCTATCAACCTCTTTTCAATAGAGAGGCCTACTAACAGGCTTACTTCTCTTAGCTGACTTTTGCAAACTTATTTAAAGAGCTCCAAGTCCCATCTCCCCGCAGGGTTTCTATGTAACATTCATAAAACGGGGAAAAAAAGCAATTTCATGAAACTACAGCTATCTAAATAAAAAAAAAAAAGCTGATTTCCTCCAATAAAATCACAAGTGCAAACGTAACTATTTGTACACACACGTAACCTCAGAAATGGTCATACCTATAGAGGAAGATTGTGGGCTGATCAGGAGATCTTCCTGAACTTGCTCGCTTCCAGGGACTGTCTGCTGATCACTCAGAGAACTCTGGGATGCACTGACAGGCTGCGATACTTCCTCATGAACCTCCTCATCACTTAACCTTTCCACTTTGACACGCACGTCTTCTTCAATCACAAGGGGTGAACTGGCTTTTGTGCTCTCACAAGTCACATAATCAGTAATTCTTCGGTTTGACTCAGAGGGCCCAGGCATTTCCAAAGTCCTAGAATTCTCCACCTGCTTCACCTTCTCCGACTGAAGTCTTCGATCAATTCCAAAAGGAAAAGTCCAGGGGAAAGCTAAGGAGGAGTCTACAGGCTGGTTTCTGGACTCTGGGTAAGAAGTTGAAGGATTCAGCACTTGGGGGGAACTTGTTTGTGTGTTACACTTCAGAGGGCTCTCAGGAGACATAACTATGTAGCTTTTGCGCTTTCTTCGTGACTCTCGGCAAACAGGAATGGTTCTTTCCACTACGCTGCATTCAGAAGAAACTGGAGAAAGGCTGCCATCTCGAGAAGTAAAATTGCAGTTTGCACTGTTTTCCTGTCCTGCATCTAGCACCTTCTCTTGCTGGCTGTTGGGCGTATTCCATAAAATGCTTGACTTCATGAATTCTGAGCACGTGCTAGCAACACTGAACATTTGCATATAGCTGGCTGCAGCCAACACATCAATAATATTTTCTGTATTAATGGATAGTGTTGCTGTGTAAGCGTATTCCAGAAGAGGTATAAAGCCAGTCACTGTCACATGGTGCAAGTCTAATACGCTCTTGCTCTCATCTTCTGCTTGACCAACGAGTTTGGAACGGAAGAAGTCGCTGCAGGCTGCCAAAACCACCTTGTGCGCCCTAAAGATTTTGTCCTGGACACGAATGGTGATGTCACAGAAATGTCCATCATTGCGAAGCATGTTTAGCTTTCCAAGCATCTCCTGGCTATGAGCAGGGGAATTATGAGTAAATGTTTTTACACCCATCTTTTCACCTTTCTCCTAGCGTTCCTTCCACATGCAAGAGATCACAGGTATCCTAAAACAAACAAAAAACCACCTCTGTCACTTAGAGGAAAGTACATTTCATCTCTGAAAGCAAAATGTAAGTGAATTCATGATTAGAAAGCTCTTATAAGAAAATTCTTCCACCACAGCAGAATTCTCTGGGGTCACGTTTTCACATTTGTTTACGACCCAGACTGTGACATCATGGGTTAACTCTACAGAAATGCACTTACTTACTTGTAATTTGCAAAAATGCAAATCAAACTGTTTGCAATCTATCATTAATATAATCTTCTACATTTCTGCTATTGTGAACTCAAAACAAATTCCCAACACAGTTTTCAGAAAAACAAATGTCTGTAACACTAAAAAGAAGGCATTTTTGAAGCTATCATCTGTGTAAGAAACCTGTTTTTTTTTTTTTAAATTTTCTGGGCTCAGGAACCTATTGCTTATGGTTCTTAAGCACTAGGAGCTTTGCTGAATGAGTCTTTAAAGTGAAGGCGACGTTTGTTTAGGTCTGCTTTCAAATGTGCAGGAGCAAGCAAACCTCTCAGAGAAGGCATTTAACACCAGAAAAGCTTCAGAGAAATTATAGCATGAATTTTCAGAAGACAGAATTCAAGCTAGCAAACATAAAATAACAGTCGGCAATAGCTATGCTTTGCTGCTATAATGCAGGTACCAATCGCCTAAAGCTGCTTTTAATAAATAATTTTGGACTAGGATGAGGGCTTATTGAAAATTCCTTCAAAAACACAATGGATATAAACCTCAAGGAAAAGTTCTGATTTAAATCCAATAGACACAAATTGATTTTATATATGTGATAAAGAGTAGCAGGAGTGTAACTTCTTTCTTCACATAAAAACTACAAACTACTTCCTTGGGGACCAATTCTCTTCTATGTGGTAGGTGCAAATGCGTGGGTTTTGTGCAACGTCCTGAAGGACTAGGAGGGACAGGATGTCCCACACCCTCTGGCAGCTTTAAGGCTGCAGCAGTATCTGAAAACCGAAAGCCTTCAATTTGATGGAAGAGGACGCTGAGCCATGATTCAATCCCTCTGCAACACACTGGGGAAAGACACTCTCTGCCCAGTTAGGTGCTGTATGCCTAGAAATCCCCTGCAGGGGAACCCTAACACTTCTGCAGCCACCGTACCCCCTCTACTAGCAGACAGGGGCACAAGGGCACAGCATCTCCAAACAAGGAAACGTAGCTTATGAGACTGCTCAAATTATTTCTGAATTATTTTACGGTTAAGAAAAAAACAAAACTACAATTGTACACCTTTTTAAGACCCCCCAGGCTTTGATGTAAAGATTTGTGTTCTATATGCTTCACACAATTTACAAGATATAGAAATACCATCACCTTGTGGTTAAACACCAACAATATAACTGGATCTGATTATTTCCTGGAGTCAGCCAACTTCTTCACATTACCCTTCTCCTTTCCTTTACATATATGCAAAAACGTACCACTCTTGCAAATCGCTTATGTGGAGCTTTGCAGATACAAGGAGCATTGCATGTCTGGAACAACTTGCAACAAATCCCACAGGTCTTACATATTTAAATGACAGCTGTCAGAGCCGACCCTGTTTTACAGATGTTTATACTGGGCATTTTCTTGTTCCTACGGTTTCACTTTTCATACTGCAAACTCTTTCAGACACAGGAAAAAATATCTGTTCTAGAGAATGGAGTAGTTTAACATCTAACAATATATAAAAAGTCTGAGTCAAACTATGATGGCCGTTTGGATTTCAAATAACATTTCACACCACTGTAGAGGAAGAAGTTAAGCACAGACAAAACCCTCCTCTTCAGTGAAACATATCGACCTCAAGAGGCATCTGAAGATCCAGACTGTTTGTTCTCCAGCATGCATCAAACGAAAAGTGTATTTAATTGATCTCAGACCAAAACATTGCAGTAAAATCTCATAGCAGCATATTCTAAAATGGCCTCAGGATATCCTTCCTTCTGAATTCCCAGTAACTACAGCAATTCCTTGGTACATCAGAAGTCTAGAACTACTTCCCTTCAGTAAATGAATGCAAAAATATTAATACATAAGCAAGGACTATCAACAGCCTTAATATAGAATACATACACAGTATTTAGAAATGGTACTGATATACGAGTATAAATAAACAAGAAGAAAAATCTAAGCAAGCAGTATTCCCAGTTCTTGCGAAAGCCCAGAAGACCAACCATAATTTGCCTTCTACAGTCATTTGAATGAGTAATTCTCATTCCTCCAGTCTCAAAGTATGACAGCTCTGTTCTGCTCACCTCCTTCAAACTCTGTTCTGAACCATTCCTTGTCCCCTTTCCCTCTTCCTACCCGCCTCTCCCCTCTTCTGGCTTCCTTTCCCCTTTCTCTTTCATCTTTTACTTCCTTGACCTTGATCTGGTTACAGAATTTAAAATAAAGTAACGGAAGCCAGTGATGTGCAGTACATTGATTTAAATTTGTTACAGAAGCGGAGCGCCTGCCACAAACGTGGGATGTTGCTCCATTAAGTCACTAGCGTAAAATGACTTTCCCCCTCACTCCACTGACACACCACCATTCAAACAAGTGGCTCCTAAACAGCCTTCAGCATAGACAAAGGGTGCATGCATATGCATGTTGTTGTCAGAAAAGTTGGCAGAGGGAGGGGGAAATAATATCAATTACTTACAGTTAGTAAGGTAGTAAAAACTTCAAATATTTTTTAAAAGGTAATTTAAACAATATGATGGTATTTTCCATATGAAAAGGTGGGCATTCTAAAGCCACTCAGGTTTTTAATTGCTTCCATTCCCATTTTTAATCTTTTGTTGGCATGAGGCACTTCTATAGCTGCAGTAAGTCATAGTAAGGAAAGAGAGTAGAGGGCTGAGACAGAACAACTTATCCTTGAGTCTAACATCTTAGAATCAACACCATTTCAAAATGACATTTTGCCATGTCTTATTACCAGCCATTAGATATACCCTGACAGCTACTGTTAGATCATAAGGTATGGGGTACTACATTCAGAAGTGACTGAAGAAACAGAAATTAGAACTAAACTTACATGGTACCCTGGGAGTGTTTGCGTGGTGCAGAGGAAGAGGAAAGGATCAAGATGTGCACATTAACAGCGATAAGCGGGTTGGAGCCGGAAAAGTTATTGTCTGTCTTCTAGCCACAAACCATCCACAACGGCAGATTCCCTGAGCGTGGCCTAGGGTTGGCATCAAAGGAACGGTGGCTTGCTTTCCCTTCCCAGGTGTCGACACCATATCTCCTCCTCTCCACGTACGATCCCCCTACACACACTTATACCCTGGCCCTGGCCCATACTACATTACAGTAGTTCAAAGTTCAAGTAAAACACAGTGAAATTCAAACAGTTATTTTCAAAAGTTTTAAAATTGTCCTCAGTAGAGCACTTAAATACGCATCAGAGCTGCGCTTCAAACTTTGCCTCAGACTTTTGTCTTACAGTTGGAGAGAATGGTTTTTCCAGTGTGCATTCCCACACGGGAAATGTGTGGGAATTCACCATCCTGCCAAAGTGCTGATCCCGGAACAAGGTGAAAAGTTAAACAAGAGCGCTGCAGAACCTTAGCGTGGAGAATTTTCTCACTAAGGTAAGTGTTACTGTACCAAAGACTTCTTAAAATTACTTTGCAGACTAGTTCAGGGTTTGTTTGGTTTTTTTTTAATCGTAAAAGCACTAATATAGACCTGACCTTTAAGTAGTTTCAAATAACTTAGCTCATTCGTACTGTTTCAAGGCTATTAAAAACAAGTTTTAGCAATAGTTATCGGTTCATATATACTAGAGTTAATCCTGTTTTGCCACAACGATTAAACACTTATGTCAAGTTTCTGGGCTTAGAAATGATAAACATATGAAAATGTATACTATGCTGGGTAAATGGAAAAGAAACTACACCGGAATTGGAAATTTTTGCTTATGTGATCCGTCAATTTTCATATACCCAAAACGTAGCGTCTAATTCACCTCCTGCCTTACATTATGGCTCAAATCATTGTTTCTGAAACACAGTACTTATAAGGATCTTGCGTTCTCTTTAGAGGAGCCACTGCACCAAACTCATACGGCTGTTAGGGTTCAATTCCCGACTTAGCCACATCATTTCACAACAGAACTGAATCATTTTTAGCATCACAAAAGTATCACCCTATCTTTAAATTCTGTGTCCTGATCATGGTCACCTACCATATCAAGAAAACACTGACTTTTCTGAATACTTTAAAAAAACAGATTTCAGATATGCAAGTACTATGCTGACTTTAGTACCCAAAAAGCTTAGGAAATTCCCGCTCTCATGGTCACTAATCCCACAAGCACATTCCTTCAACTGTGAGGCCATGTTAAAAAACATTATCGCTACAGTTATCTTTCAGGAAATTTATTTTTAACCCAGACCCCTTTTTGCACAAAGGTTACAGCACCGTCCCATAAACAGCAGCAGTAGCACAGGGACAGAGAAATCTTTTGAGGATGAACTGGAAAGTCCTCAAAGTGCTCAACCAGAAGCAACGTGCAACTACACTCTATATAGAAATATTAGGCCGACAACATAGCGTCAACAACACACCTCATCTCTAAATGTTCCTTCAACAGATAGTAACTAGTTGCTCTGGGAGAAAGAGAACAAACATTATCTCTCTGCTGCTCTGGGAGAAAGAGAGAAAGAGAACAAACATTATCTCTCTGTCAACATCCCATCACTCTTTGCTCCCTCCAAGTGTCTAACTGGTTAGTATAATTAAGTTTTTAATTGCTAGAACAACTGCCCTCAGCCTGTACTTAACTTGAAGTCTGCTATTTTTATTTCAGACTTGAAACACTTGTGTACCTAAAAGCACACGCTTGCTTTCCCCAACAACATCAGCTGGCCTAATAAAAGGTACCATCTCCCCTTCAAACTTTGCCTTGCTTCGTTTGACAAAACTGTTGGCTGGAACTGACAAACTGTTCTCATTTAAAGTAAATCAACAGCGCTCGCTAGACTTTGT